AACAAATGAATGACACATACTACAATATTGATAAATCTTAAAATAATTATGCTGAATGAAATAAACTAGATGGAAAAAAGTATATGCTGTATTATATAAAATTCTAAGAAATAAAAATGAACGTAAATAAATTTAGCACCCAGATCTTTACTTTTAATATCATTTTCCAATAAATGGGTGATTCTTCGACTAAGGCAGGAAATACACAAGATGTGTCCAGAGTATCTTGTAATGCAAGAAAATAAGAAATGCCCTGCCTGGTCTGGCTCAGTTGCTTGAGCCTCATCCCATGCACCAAGAGGTCACTGGTCTGATTCCAGGTCAGCACATATGCCTGGGTTGTGGACTTGATCCCCAGTGTGGGGCATGCAGGAAACAGCTGATCTATGATTCTCATCACTGATGTTCCTACTTCTCTCTCCCTCTTCTTTCCTCTCTGAAATCAATAAAAATGTATTTTAAAAAATAAAATAGCCCAGCTGGCGTGGCTCAGTGGTTGAGCATCGACCTATGAACAGGAGGTCACTGTTTGATTCCCGGTCAGGGCATATGCCCAGGTTGCAAGCACAATCCCTAGTGTAGGGCATGTAGGAGGCAGCCGATCAATGATTCTCTCTCATCATTGTTGGTTGTTTTCTTTCTCTCTCCCCCTGCCTTCCTCTCTGAAATCAATAAAAGTATATTTTTTAAATAATTTACAAAAATAAAATAGCCCTAGCTGGTTTTGCTCAGGGGATAGAGTTTGGGCTTACGGACCAAAGGGTCCCGGGTTTGATTCCATTTTAAACTGGGTGAACTGTATGGTATGTGGATTATACTCAATAAAGCATCTTAAGTGAATTGGAAAGATGAAAGCCTAAAAACAGCAATAACAGCATTAATAATAATAAACTAGTTCACCTCTCTAGCCTCATCCCCCATCCATAATGGCCTCATTGCTGTTCCTATATTATGTCTTCCTATTTGAGGTCCTGTGAACATATTATATTTGCTTCTTGGAATTCTCTTCACCCCTCTTCTACATGCCTAATCCTTTATACAGTATCTAAAATTAGAGTAAGCTAACTGCTGGAATCAATTCCAAAGTCCAGTCACCTAACATCATATAGGTAGCTATATTTCTCACTCATATAGACACTCCTCAGGTCATTCGGGGATCCAGGCTTTTTACCTCTATTGGCTTTGCCCATCCTGGAGTCTCTGTGTCTTCCACTGTACTCTGCACACCTGGCCGAGAGGACCTGTGGGGCATCGGCAGAGAGAGGAACTTGAGGAACTTTCCAAATGATTTATTCAGTTTTGAGCATGGTATGTTTCATATGATATCAAGGTACCCAATGGTCTTAGGTTCAGCACAGAGATTGTTAGGTTAACTCTGTATCTCAAATACACTGAGTGGCCAGATTATTATGACCAGCCAGATTATTATGGCCACCTTCTGCCTTCAATACTGCGGCGATTCTTCTTGGCATTGGCTCCACGAGATGTTGAAAGGTGACGCGAGGAATCTGACACCAGGTCTGATGAATAGCACTGTCCAGTTCTGTGAGATTTGATGGTTGTGGAACCAGCTGCCTGATGGCTCTTTTAACTTCGTCCCACAAATGGATTGGATTCATCCATTCCCAATTCAATTGGATTGAGATCTGGTGATTGTGGGGGCCAGCTAAGCAAGGTAAAGCCTCCCTCATGTTCTTGAAACCACTCCAATCAACAATGTGAATTTGGTTGTTTTTGTTGACATTTCTATTATAGAGAAAGGGCGAATGGCGATATTAAAGTATTTCTTCTAATTAATTTCCTTTCAATGTGCACGAATCCGTGCACAGGGCCACTAATAACACAATAATTAATAAATAATGATACAAGAATAAACGGTGTTTCCCATGCTCACAACTGTAAACCCACTTTTGCCCACCTCTGTATAAACTGAAGTTAAAGGAAACTTCCCTTAAAATGAATTCCTCAGGACAAATTAATGACAAACAACACCCAAACTTTCCTCGCAGGTAGAGAGGTGTTGTCAACTGTCTTCCACACCCAGACCTCTGCCACATTGTCCAAGAGGAGCAGGACATGTTGACTGTGGTAAGAGAAATTTGGAAGTACTCACTTTTAATGGAAGTCATAAGAAAGAGAGAGAGAGAGAGAGAATCTCATAAATTATTTAGGATCATCCTTGATACATTTATTCTAAAAGACAACATAACCAAATATCTCCTTCTGTTAAATTTGTACGAAACTGAAAACCTGAAAATTCAGCTGTTGGTGGAATCCATTTGTGTTTTTTTTCTTCCAGTTAGACTGGGCATAATCCTTAACTGGTAGTACAAAAACTAACACACCGACGAAGTTCCATCTCACAGCACCTGCTGTTCAGAGTGGAATTCAGACTGGCGTTTGAGAATACCAAGTCCAGAATTTCAGGTCGGGTCCCTAATTGGGGTAGGGAGGGGCTTTGGGCGGGGCTTCCAGATGGGGAGGAGTCGTTATTAGAAAGCTGTGTGGGGCCAGCGCAGAGCTGTCACTACTCTAGAGGTAAGCCTGGTGCCATGTGAGTGAGCGAGGATCTGGTGCGTGAGCGCAGCCTTCCCAATGAGAACGTGGCCCTGGGCCTCTGAGCGGAATCCGCAAACCTCAGGAGTTGCTTGGAGCTGCCCAGCAAAGTGAGCTGCAGCGAGCACGGTCGCCAACTACAGGGATCCGGCAGAAACGCTCCTCTCCCGACCCCGGGCTGCACCTGAGAGGTGCAAGCAGCCTCGGGGTGCTAGCCAGAAGAGAGGCGGATCGCAGTCAGGGGTCGCGAGCTGCACGGCCAGCACCGGTTTGAAGCCGGAGAAAAGGTCGGGCGATACAGCCGCATCTCATTGCTTTCGAAGCCGCCGCCGCCGGAGTGCGGACTTGTGAGTACTCTGCGTCTCCCGCGCTCAGACTCCGGTCGGAGAACTCTGCTGGAGAAGTCTCCCCGTTAGCACACGAGCTCCCTGCACGACCCGTCCTGCTCTCCCACGCGCCCAGGGACCGAACTGCCGCCACCTTCCCCTGCCGACTCCATGGAGGGCAAGGGCAGTCGCTGACCAGCGCCGCCCCCTTCTGACCCGGGAGGTGGAGATCCCCCCTCCAACCCCGCCCGGTCCGATCCCATTCAACACCCCTTTTCTCCTCCAGCTGCTCCTAGATCCCCGATACCGCCCCCCCCTCCTTCCCCGATCCCTCCTCCCTCGAGTCAGGGGAGGAGAAAAAGTGGAGCCGGGTCATTATGACAGAGCCGAAGCCACAGGCTTCCCGGGCTCCCCACGTGGTGGGCGGCGCGCCCTCCCCCATCCAGGCCGGCTCTCCCCTGCTGGGA